GGACGACCCTCTCCACGCCGAGGCCGTCGCGGCGCTCCCGGTCGACCCGGCCGCCGCCGCGCTCCCGGCCCGCATGTCGACGCCCCGGGACCTCCGCGACGTCGGAACGGGCGTCCGCCAGCTGCTCCGCGACGTCCTCGGCCCCCCCGGGGGCCCCGCGCTCAGCGCCGAGGACGCCGCGGCGCGGCTGGACGCCGACTACGAGCGCATCGTCGACGTCGCTTTCCTCCACCAGTGCTCGGCGTACTGCAAGGAGGCGAGGCCGCAAAAGAAGGCCGCCGCGGCGGACGACGACGGGGACGACGACGACGACGACGAAGTCGACGGCGCCGCCGCGAAGGGCGTCGTGGCGTTCCTTTGCCGAATGTGCTTCGGCGGGACCGAGGGCACCAAGGGCCTCGAGGCGAAGTGGGCCACGGGCCGCGAGTGCCGCGACTCGCCTAAGTTCGCCAGGAACCGCGGCAAGTGGAGCCTCGAGCTCGCGAGGGACCACCCCGTCCTCGTGCAGCACATCCGCCTCCTGGTCCAGGCCTGGCGCGCGAACGAGGACTCGTCCTTCGTCGTCGACGGGGGCATCGCGGGCATCATCATGTACCTCACGTCCTACATGTGCAAGGGCAACAAGGCCTCGTCCTGCCTCGACTCGCTCGCGCGCGACTGCGCCGCGGCGACGCCCGACGGCGCCGCGGTCAACTTGGCGAGCATCGCCGCCAAGGGCGCTCTGGAGGTCGGCATGCTCTCGGACACGCCGGGCGCCGAGGTCGCCCACATGCTCGCCGGCGGCAAGCTATACAGGGCGTCCTGGCCCTCGGCCACGGTAGGGCTCAGCGGCGCCAAGGTCATCAAGAAGGGCGGGAAGCAGTCGCGGCCCGTCATGGCCAAGTTCCACGACAACGCCCCGCCGGGCAAGCCCGCCAAGGATCCCAGGGAGACGCTCTGGGACGTGGTCTCCGAGTGCGGCAAGCTCGTGGTGGACATCATTGGCGCGCCGACCTACTCGACCAAGTGGCCGCCCGGCGACGCCTACGCGCTCACCGTGCTCACGCTCCACGTCCCGCGGGACTTCTGGAGCTACAACGAGCAGAGCGGCGTGAGCGACTTCTCCAAGGCGTTCCCGCACACGTGGGAGGCGGGCGCGGGCGCCGCCCTCGCCGAGTGGTTCGAGCTCGACGTCGCCGAGCGCGAGGCCCGCGGCCTCCCCGCGCTCAAGTGGTTCGAGGCCAAGTCGCTCGCCAGCGCGCGAAGGGACGCGGTGGCGGAGCGGCGCCGCCAGCGCGCCCGGGCCAGGCACGCGCGCCAGGAGGCCCGCGAAGCGGCTCTACGGGCCTCCGGCGCGACCAAGACCGGGTCGTCCGACGGCTTCTCCTCTGGGAGCTCGTCCTCGGATTCGGACGACGACGACGCCGCGCGCGCCGCGCGCCGGAACCTCGGGCCCGAAGACGCTGCGTTCCGTCGGGCCATGGCCCAGGCCGGCGCCGGCTGCGACG